AGGGGGTTGGACTAGATGACCTGCAAGGTCCCTTCCAACGCTAACATTCTATGATTCTATCCCCCAGGGTCTCAGGCTGAGGTCTTTCCCATCACCTCCTGCCCAGCCTTTTTAACTGTAGGTGCCGGGGACTGAGCCTGGGACCTTCTGCAAACCACTGAGCCACAGCCCCTCTCCACGGCTCTCCAGCGTCTCAGGCAGAGAGAGGTCTTTCCCATCACCTACCGCCTGGTCCTTTGAACTGGAGATGCCGGAATTGGACCTGGAACCTTCTGCATACCAAGCAGAGGCTCTCCCACTGAGCAACGGCCCCTCTCCATGGCTCTCCAGGGTCTCAGGCAGAGGTCTTTCCCATCACCTCCTACCTGGCCGTTTTCAACTGCAGATGCTGGGGGTTGAACCTGGGACCTTCTGCATGCCAAGCAGTGGCTCTACCACTGAGCCACGGCCTCTCCCCATAGTTCTCCAGGGTTTCAGGCAGAGGTCTTTCACATCACCTCCTACCTGGCTATTTTTAACTGGAGATGCCGGGGATTGAACCTGGGACCTTCTGCATGCCAAGCAAAGGCTATAGCACTCAGCCATTGAGGTCTTTCATGTCACCTCCTGCCTGGTCCTTTGAACTGGAGATGCCGGGGATTGAAACTGGGACCTTCTGCATGCCAAGCAGAGGCTCTACCACTGAGCCACGGCCTCTCCCCATAGTTCTCCAGGGTTTCAGGCAGAGGTGTTTTCCATCACCTCCTATTTGGCTGTTTTCAATTGCAGATGCTGGGGATTGAACCTGAGACCTTCTGCATGCCAAGCAGAGGCTCTGCCACTGAGCCACAGCCCCTCTTTACAGCTCTCCAGGGTCTCAGGCTGAGGTCTTTCATATCACCTACTGCCTGGTCCTTTTAAGTGGAGATGCCGGGGACTGAACCTGGGACCTTCTGCATGCCAAGCAGAAGCTCTGAGTCATCGCCCCTCTTTAAATGAAGCTCCCTTCTACTGTGTCAGCCCTTTGGTCCATCAAAGTTGGCAGCACCGTCTACTGAGACTGGGAGCTGCTCTCCCGGGTCTCAGGCGGAGGTTTTTCACTTCACGTACTGCCAGGTCCTCTGAACTGGAGATGCTGAGGATCGAACCTGAGACCTTCCATGTGCCAAGAAGAGGCCCTTCCGACTGAGCCACAGACCCTCCCCACTAACTCTCTGCAGGCTTCCCTTCGAGCACCGGGTAGAGGATTCTCACTAGGGTTATGGGGTATGGCAACCCAGATTATGTTCCAGGGCCAAGCAGAAATACTGTGACGGCATAAATCGTACACTCAGATTTGCAGGGCTGATGCTCCTTTGGCTGCAATTGCTGAACAGGGCTCAGAGGCCATCACGGTCTGCCTTGGAGCCCGGTCATAGAAACAGAGAGCTGGAAGGTACCCCAAGGGGTCATCTAGTCCACCCCACTGCGCAATGCAGGAAATTCACAGCTACCCACCCCCACTTCCCCAGGAACCCCTGCTCTATGCCCAGAGGAAGGCAAAAAGCCTCCAGCGTCCCAGAGGCAACAGAAAACAACTCCGCTCTATCCTCTATATGAAAGCCCTCCAAATACTTGGTCCCTTGTTAAGTAGAATACCAGCAGGGCATTTTTGGTGGTGGCACCTGGGTGGGGGCGGGTTTCCAAGTTCCGAAAGGGGAATACATGGAATTCAGTGCAGTCTTATCTACAGGGCTGGCCCTATCACTAGGCCTGCTAGTATCTCACCTAGGGCGGAGATACTAGCAGGGTACCAATTCCCCTGCCACCCCTCCCGCTAAAGGCCCCCACCCTGCCCAAAGCTGCCTGCTGCGCCTTTCGTCGCTGCCGCAGCGTGGCATCAGAGCGCATGCCACTCTGCGCCGGCCGCCATGCACCTGTGCCAGCTCCTGGGGAGTGCTCAGTCGACTGCCCGGAAGGGGGTGTGGAGCCTCCGGAGCCCGCCCGCCCCCTTCCCATGTGCAAAAGCGCCCCGGGTGCAGCAAGTCGAAGCGGACAGGGATGGGGCCGCTGGTGGCGGGGCGCTTGCGGGGCTCGCTGGCACTGCTGACTGAGCTGGCTGAGTTCGAGCTCTTCTTCCACCGCTGCCCCTAACCCTGGACCAGAGCCACTCCCGCCCCCCGCCCCCGGAGTTCCGTGGCCTCACCGGGAAGCAGATTGGCCGGCTTTTCTCGAGCTCCGCTTTTCTGCAGCAGTTCAAGGAAGAACCATCTGAGAAATGTAAAAGGGAGACACGGAAAATAGTGAAGGAAACCGTTCATAACATCATGTAAGTCACATTCAGAAGGCAATTCTCCCCCCCCCCCCAAAAAAAAATACACCACACAAACAATCCCCACCGCCGCCGAGCCGCTTCCTGGCCGGGGACCGCAGGAAGGGCTTGGGCCAAGCAGCGGTTCTGGCTCAGAAAGGCCCCCTGGGCAGGCGGGCAGGAGGCGGCAGCAGGGAACGGAGCCCTCTCTCGGCCGGCCCTGCTGCTGGGACTCTGCTGGGAGGTCTGCAAGCCCCACCGGGAGGTTGGCATCTGAGGGGGGCGCCACGAGGCAGCCTGGCCTAGGGCGCAGAAACCCCTCGGGCCGGCCCTGAACACACACCCATGAACGCATAAAGCTGCCTTATACTGAATCAGAATAGTGGTCCATCTTGTCTACCCAGACCGGCAGCCGCTCTCCAGAGATTCGGGTAGAGGCCTCTCACATCACCTACAACCCAATCCTTCAGCTCAGGGACTGAACCTCGGATCACGGAATCATAGAACGTTAGAGACGGAAGGGACCTTGCAAGTCATCTAGTCCAACCCCCTGCACACTGCTGGAGCAGAGCCGAAAGACAGCCCTACAACACACCCGAGAGATGGTCGTCCCGCCCCCGCTTGGAAACGTCCAGCGAAGGAGCCTCCACCACCTCCCGACGCAGACTGTTCCACTGCTCAACCACTCTCACAGTCAGGAAGTTTCTCCCGATATTCAGCCGGTAACGACTCCCTTGTCATTTCCACCCATTAGATCTAGTCTTCCAATCCGGAGCAAGAGAGAATATTTATTTATTTATTTAATTTCTACCCCACCCTCCCGCCGAAGTGGCTCTACCTTCTACATGATCTAGATCTGCTCCACCTTCTACCTGACAGCCCTTCAGATACTTGAAGACTGCAATCCTGTCCCCTCCAAGCCTTCTCTTTCCCAGGCTAAACAGACCCGACTCCTTCAGCCTTTCCTCGTAAGAATCATAGAATGTTAGAGTTGGAAGGGACCTTGCAGGTCATCTAGTCCAACCCCCCGCACTCTGCAGGAGCACAGCCGAAAGATAGCCCTACAACAGACCCGAAAGATGGTCGTCCCGCTCCCGCTTGAAAACGTCCAGCGAAGGAGCATCCGCCACCTCCCGAGGCAGACTGTTCCACAGCTCAACCACCCTTACAGTTAGGAAGTTTCTCCTGATATTTAGCCGGTAACGACTCCCTTGCAATTTCCACCCATTAGAGCTAGTCTTGCAATCCGGAGCAAGAGAGAATAGACCTGCCCCGTCTTCCACATGACAGCCCTTCAGATACCCGAAGACTGCAATCCTGTCCCCTCTAAGCCTTCTCTTTCCCAAGCTAAAAAGACCCAACTCTTTCAGCCTTTCCTCATAAGACTTGGATTCCAACCCTCTCACCATCCCGGTTGCCCTCTTCTGGACACGCTCGAGCTGGTCAACATCCTTCCTAAAATGTGGTGCCCCAAACTGGACACAGGACTCCAGGTGAGGCCTGACCATAGCAGAATAGAGTGGAACGACCACCTCCCGTGACCTGGACACAAGGCTTCTGTTCATGTATCGAAAGATTGCATTAGCTTTCTTCGCAGCCGCATTGTACTGCAGGCTCATGTTTCGCTTGTGATCAACCAGAACACCGAGATCCCTTTCACATGTGCTGCTGTCAAGCCAAGTCCCTCCCATTCTATATCTGTGCCTTCGATTTTTTGTACCTAAGTGTAGGACTTTGCACTTATCTTCTGCATGCCAAGCAGAGGCTCTTCCCCTGGGCGACAGCCCCTCCCCACACACACATGAGCCTGTCTTCTACTGAATCAGCCCCTTGGTCCATGAAGGTCAGTATTGTCCCATCCACATACTAATCACGGCAATCCCTGCCTAGCTCCCAAGGCCTGGCTACCCTGGACCACCTGGATTAGGGCAAAAGACATGCAGAGGTGGATTTGCCATTGCCTGCCTCTGCGTAGCAACCCTGGGCTTCCTTGGTGGTCTCCCATCCAAGTACCAACCTGAGCCAATCCCGCTTAGCTTCCGAGATCTGATGAGACTGGACCAGCCTGAGTCATCCAGGTCAGGGCGAAAGAAACACAGAGGTGGGTTGCCACTGCCTGCCTCTGCGTAGCAACCCTGGACTTCCTTGGTGATCTCCCATCCAAGGACTAACTAGGGCTGATCCTTCTTAGCTTCCCATCTCTGACGAGATCAGGCTAGCCTGGGCCACCCAGGACAGGGCAAAAGACACACAGAGGTGGGTTTGCCGTTGCCTGCCTCTGCGTAGCAACCCTGGGCTTCCTTGGCGGTCCCCCATCCAAGTACCAACCAGGGATGACCCTGCTTAGCTTCTGAGATCTGATGAGGTCAGGCTAGCCGGGGCCACTCAGGACAGGGCGAAATACACACAGAGGTGGTTTGTCGTTGCCTGCCTCTGCGTAGCAACCCTGGGCTTCCTTGGCGGTCCCCCATCCAAGTACCAACCAGGGATGACCCTGCTTAGCTTCTGAGATCTGATGAGATCAGGGTAGCCTGGGCCACCCAGGACAGGGCGAAAGGCATTCAGAGGTTCTTTGTCATTGCCTCCCTCTGCGTAGCAACCCTGGGCATCCTTGGCGGTCTCCCATCCAAGGACCAACCCAGGGCCAATGCCACTTTGCTCCTGAGATCTGGCTTGGGCCACCCAGGGCAAGGCGAGGAGATGCTCAGTGACCAGCAAAAGGCTTGGGGGATCTCTGACCAGGAGACAGGTTATTTATTGACTGATTGCAGTTCTACCGCGCTTTCCCCCGGCTGGCAGCCGGGTAACTAACTCCAGAGGTGTTGTGTGCAAAGGAAGAGAGGACGGGACGTGCCAGCGCAGGGGCGGGTGCAGGAAAGAGTCATCTGTCCGCCGCGTCCCCGTTGCTCCTGCAGTTCAGGGCTCGTGCACGGAGCTCGGCCTTTCCACTCGGCAGGAGAGAAGCCGGGTGTCCCAGCGGGCGGATCAACTGGTCGCTTCCGGCATTTGCTCTGGTCCTTCAGCCGGGCGGTTTTCTTCCGTGGGCTTTCGCTGAGACCGCCCCTTCCTCCAGTAGAGGTAGTAGACGACCACCAGGCAGAGAAGGCAGCAGGCTTCGAACCCGACTTGGAGGCCGATGAACCTGCGGGCCCAGAAATGGAAGGGAGCAAGTCAGGCGGGATCAACGGCTGGCTGAGGAAGCGTCAGTGCGTTGGCTCAGAGGTTAAGACACTGAGCTGCAGACCTGAAGGTCTGTAGCTCGGCAGATCGAGGCCCGAGTGCTGCGTGACGGAGTGAGCTCCCGTCTCTGGTCCCAGCTCCTGCCAACCGAGCCGTTCGAAAGCAAGGCACTGCAAGTAGATAAATAGGTACCGCTTCGGTGGGAAGGTAACAGCGTTCCGTGCGCCTTGGCGTCTAGTCATGCCGGCCACATGACCACGGAAACGTCTTCGGACAGCGCTGGCTCTTCGGCTTGGAAACAGAGATGAGCACCGCATCTCTAGAGTCGGATTCGACTGGCTTTCGAGCAGGGGAGACCTTTACCTTTAAGGAAGCATCTCCTTCAAAGCTGGATACCCGAGGGCGGCATAGGGTTGCGATCTTTGGGTTGGGAAATTCTGGGAGATTTGGGGGCAGAGCTCGAAGGGGGTGTGTGATCCCCTAGTGTTAGGGTTGCCAGCCTCCAGGTGGGTGAAGCAACCCGAGCTGCAGTGTTAGGAGAGTCTAGAAACAGATAAATATACACTGCAAAAACCTTTTAGGCAGGGCCTTTTTATGTAGAAAAAGCCCAGCAGGAACTCATTAGCATAATAGGCCACACCCAACAGCAAACCCAATTAGCATATTAGGCCACACCCCTGACAGCACATCTCATTAGCATATTAGGCCACACACCCCTCGTTACCAGAAGTGTGGTCATCCAGCCACACCCATCGTTTGCTTCTTATTCTGTTGACCTTGTTTGTTGTCAAAACCCAGGGCCTTTTTTGGTAGCAGGAACTCCTTTGCATGTTAGGCCACACGCCCCTAATGTAGCCAATCCTAATGCGTTTCTGCTGTTGGGTGTGGCCTATTATGCTAATGAGTTCCTGCTGGGCGTGGCCAACTTGGGAGCCAGCCGGAACTCCGCTCCTGTGCGTTCCTGCCCCAAAAATTCCTGCCCAAAAATAGCCCTGCTTTTAGCAAACAAATGTGTTCTATTTACGGTCATCATTTAGTAAAGTGCATAGTGTGTCATTATTTCATCCTAGTCAGGTATAAATATTCATTACATTCAATAAGCAGTAACATTCAATACATACAGATTGCTAACTGCCAGACAATTTTGCACCAGTGTTTTAAAAGTCAAGCCCCAACGGGAGTTTCTAGGATTATAAGCCCGCTTCTCCTTGCATGAAGTCTTCCAAAAAGGGGGGACAGCCTTCTTGTATGGAGGCTTTTTGCCGGTCCTACAAAAGACACATTATGAAGCTAACATTCATGGACGGAGTCAAAGCTGCATAGTATTGACCTGGTTCTCTTTACTAAATGATGACCATAAATAGAACATAAATAAATATGTTTAGCTTGGGAAAGAGAAGGCTCAGAGGGGACATGATTGCGGTCTTCAAGTATCTGAAGGGCTGTCATGGAGAAGATGGAGCGGATCTATTCTCTCTTGCTCCGGATTGGAAGACTAGGTCTAATGGGTGGAAATGACAAGGGAGTCGATACCAGCTAAATATCAGGAGAAACGTCCTGACTGTCAGAGTGGTTGAGCAGTGGAGCGGACCGCCTCGGAAGGTGGTGGACGCTCCTTCGCTGGACGTTTTCAAGCGGAGGCTGGACGGCCATCTTTCGGGTATGTTGTAGGGCTGCCTTTCGGCTGTGCGCCTGCAGAGTGCGGGGGGTCGGACTAGATGACCTGCAAGGTACCTTTCCAACTCTAACATTTTCTATGATTTTACATTAGTTTGCTAAAAGGTTTTTGCAGTCTATATTTATTTGGAGGCCTCCCAGAATTGCAGCTCATCAGTTCCCCTGGAGAAAATGGCTGCTTTGGAAATTAAAAGAGTTTTCGGCTCAACATTCGGAAGAACTTCCTGACAGATTCCTCAGTGGAACAGGCTCCCTTGGGAGGCGGTGGGCTCTCCTCCTTTGGAGGTTTTCCAACAGAGGCTGGATGGCCATTCTGACAGCACTTCTGATTCTATGAACCTGGGCAGATCAAGAGAGGGAGGGCAGGAAGGGTTGCATCCAGGGGTGGATGAACCATGAAGCAGACAAAGCACGTGTTTAGGGGACCAGGGCCAAAGTGGGCACCACAAAGTTTGGGAAAGGGTGAAAAGAAGAAAAAAGAACACGAATGAAGATTTGTAAAAAATTGATAAAAGTAGTGCACATTGATCATGGTGCACCCTCGGGTTATCTTCTGTTTTTTGTTGGGGAGGTGCCAAGATTGGGGGCACCAAGATTGGTCAGTGCTTAGGGCACCAGTGAGCCTTAATCTGCCCCTGGTTGCATCAGTGCTTAGTTCTCGTGGCCCTTTCTTACACGCCCAGGGAAATGCCGATGGCCACTTTGAAGAAGAAGAAGAAGAAGAGAAGAAGAAGGAGATCAGATTTATACCCCACCCTTCACTCGGAGTCTCAGAGCGGCTTACAACCTCCTTTCCCTTCCCCTCCCCACAACAGACACCCTGTGAGGTCGGTGGGGCTGAGAGAGCTCTGATGGAAACTGCTCTTTTTCAAGGAAAGCCCATCAGAACTACGGCTTGCCCAAGATCATCCAGCCAGCTGCAAGTGGAGGAGAAGAAGAAAAAGAAGAGAAGAGATTGGATTTCTACCCCGCCCTTCGCTACCCAAAGGAGTCTCAGAGCGGCTGACAACCTCCTTCCCCTTCCCCTCCCCACAACAGACACCCTGTGAGGCAGGTGGGGCAGAGAGAGCTCTTTCCAGTACTGCTCTTTCAAGGACAGCTCTTATTAGAACTATGGCTTGCCCAAGGTCATCCAGCAGCTGCAAGTGGAGGAGTGGGGACTCAAACCCGGTTCTCCCAGATTAGAGTCCTCACATTTAACCACTGCACCTGGCTGGGGGGTATTTGTGAATTTCCTGCCTTGTGCAGGGGCCGAGGGTCTGATTCAGGATCAGGCCACTTCATGTGAGATCTCCACGCCCCACCGGGAGACTGACAAACCCACCCGGGGCCCATGTGAATCAGGGTGGCATTGGATAGGGGGGTCGAGGGCTCAGCCATACCTGTGCCGGAGGACGGTGCTGTCGTAGTACCTGCAGGCGGCTTTCTTCTGGCATTTCCACTGCCACAGGAGGCAGGCGGTGTCGATGATGCTGCCGTAGACCACCGGGGCCGGCAGCCAGGCTGGAAAACAAATCGGAGGGGCCTGGAGCATTTATTCACGTAAGCATTTGTATGCTGGCTTTCCTCCCGAATGGGGATCCACAGGCGTTTACGATGCACAAACGCGATGTAGATGTACAGACAGGGGCAGAAGGGGGGAGAGCATCTCAGGGGAGCAGGTCTCCCGCTCCCTCCTCCTCCCAACTTAGAGTCGCCAACTTCCAGGAAGAAGAAGAAGAAGAAGAAGAGGAGGAGGAGGAGGAGATTGGATTTATATCCCACCCTTCACTCGGAGTCTCAGAGCGGCTTACAAACTCCTTTCCCTTCCCCTCCCCACAACGGACACCCTGGGAGGTAGGCGGGGCTGAGAGAGCTCTTTCAAGGACTGCTCTTGAGAGTACAGCTCTGAGAGAACTATGGCTTGCCCAAGGTCATCCAGCAGGTGTAAGTGGAGGAGAGAAGAAGAAGAAGAAGAGATTGGATTTATACCCCACCTTTCACTACCCAAAGGTGCCTCAAAGTGGCTTACAAACTCCTCCCCCTCCCCACAACAGACACCCTGTGAGGCAGGGGGGGGGCTGAGAGAGCGCTTGACAGAAACTGCTCTTTTTCAAGGACAGCTCTTATCAGAACTACGGCTTGCCCAAGGTCATCCAGCAGGTGCAAGTGGAGGAGTGGGGAATCAAACCCGGTTCTCCCAGATTGGAGTCCGCGCATTTAACCACTACACCAAACTGGAAGAAGAGATTGGATTTATATCCCGCCCTTCACTACCCAAAGGTGTCTCAGAGCAGCTTACAAACTCCTTTCCCTTCCCCTCCCCACAACAGACACCCTGTGAGGTAGGCAGGGCTGAGAGAGCTCTGACAGAAATTGCTCTTTTTCAAGAACAGCTCTTATCAGAACTACGGCTTGCCCAAGGTCATCCAGCCAGGTGCAAGTGGAGGAGTGGGGAATCAAACCCGGTTCTCCCAGATTAGAGACCGTAGTCTTAACCACAACCAAACTGCTGGACGATGGCACGTGGTATTTTTTTTTTTTTTTGCCACTGTGTGACACAGAGTGTTGGACTGGATGGGTCATTGGCCTGATCCAACATTGGCTTCTCTTATGTCCTTATAGGAACTCTCAGGCAGGGGCAAGTGATGCTCTGTGTTCTTGGTGGGTAACAGTGGGAGGGCTTCTAATGTCCTGGCCCCACTGCTGGACCTCCTGAGGGCACCTGGTATTTCTGGCCACTGTGTGACAGATTGTTGGACTGGATGGGCCTTTGGCCTGATCCAACACTGGCTTTTCCTATGTTCTTATGTTGTAATAGTGGGAGATCTCCAGGCCCCACTGCGGACACTCGGTGAGGCTCTCACCTTTTCTGCCCAGCCACTGGGGCGGGGGCTAGAACCTTGTTTCTCAGAATGCTAGACCGAGTACCCAATTGTGGAAAGGTGGATTTGCACGCACGCAGCCTTGGCCTCTGACTTACCGGCAACTCGTAGCAAGAGGAACTGGATCCCGATGGCAAAAGACTTGTCTTCGGCCTTAACGTTCCTAAAGACAAAAGAAGAAGAAGGAGGAGGAGGATTCGTGAGAGCTAAACAGACGGAAACAAACCAGGCAGGGAGAACACCTGGCCAACCCCCATGCCATCTGCGGGGCCACTTTATACAAGGTGGATATACTGGGAGATTTGGTTCATAGAGCAGAGTTTTGCCCAGTCATAGAAGAGTGATACTGAGTGCAGTGAATAGATCTGGTCTTATGAGGAAAGGCTGAAAGAGTCGGGTCTGTTCAGTCTGGGAGAGAGAAGGCTTAGAGGGGACACGACTGCAGTCTTCAGATATCTGAAGGGCTGTCATGTAGAAGGTGGAGCAGATCTATCCTCTCTTGCTCCGGATTGCAAGACTAGGTCTAATGGGTGAAAATTGCAAGGGAGTCGATACCGGCTAAATATCAGGAGAAACTTCCTAACTGTCAGAGTGGTTGAGCAGTGGGACAGTCTGCCCCGGGAGGTGGTGGAGGCTCCTTTGCTGGACGCTTTCAAGAGGAGCCTGGACAATCATCTTTCGGGTCTGTTGTAGGGCTCTCTTTCGGCTGTGCTCCTGCAGAGTGCAGGGGGTTGGACTAGATGACCTGCAAGGTCCCTTCCAACTCTAACATTCTACGATTCTACGTATATTGCAAAAAGCGTAGATCCCGAATCCATCCCAGTGTATTTGAAAAAGTGTGCATTCACACAAAAGCTCATTCCTTGAATAAACCTTTGTTAGTCTTAAAGGTGCCAAACTAGACTCGAAATTTGTTCAACCGCTTCAGACCGACATGGCTGACCACTGGGAACCATCAGGTAGATCCAGGTCACCTTCAGGTTGCAGTCGAAAGAAGAGAGAGTGCCGCCATCACGTGCGTGGGAGTATGAGGGCACTGTCTCTACAGGAGGGACCTGTTTCTCCATGGAAGGCCATATGAAGGGAGGGAGAGGACAAAGGGAGAAAGAGACGAGGGGTCAGAGCGCAGCTCCAAGGTGAAGACAAAGAGTGGCATATCCCATTCAAGGAGGTAACACTTACATACTCTTAGAGTGATACCGAGTGCAGTAGATAAATATCCCAGGAAGTATATTGCAAGAGCTAAAAACTTGCATTTATTCAAGAAGGTCCAGTTCACATTCAGATTGCAGTCGAAAGGAGAAAGAGACTTTTCCTATCGCACATGGCCAGCTTGTCCGGCATCACATGCGTGCGAGTACGAGGGCATTGTATCTCCGTGGAAGGCCATGTGAAGAGAGGGAGAGGACAAAGGGAGAAAGAGAGGAGGGGTCAGAGGGCAGCTCCCAGGTGAAGACAAAGAGAGGCCTATCCCATTCAAGGAGGAAACACTTATATACCCTTAGAGTGATGTAGCGCCCCCCAATGTCCAGGCATGCTGACTCGCTCACCCCAACAAGACTAAACCGTGAAGGGACATTACCGGAGGAGGAGGTCTCCGGCTTTCTCAGTACAAAGAGGTGGAAGAAGCTGAGCAGCGGTCAGGCAGGGGCCGAAGGTCTCCTGCTCCCTTACGCGACTGCCTGCTCCTTGTCCTTTCCTGCCCCCGCTCCCCGCAGTTCCCTCGCTGGACCCAGATAGGGTTCAACCTCTTCCTTGTCCTCCTTACAAGTTCTCAAAACTTGTAAGGAGGGCAAAGCTTGTAAGGAGAGCCAGTTTGGTGTCGTGGTTAAGTGCGCGGCCTCTAATCTGGGAGAACCGGGTTTGATTCCCCCACTCCTCCGCTTGCACCTGCTGATGTACCTTGGGCAAGCCGTAGTTCTGTCAGAGCTGTTCTCTCAAGGGCAGTCCTCAAAAGAGCTCTCTCAGCCCCACCCATCTCACAGGATGCCTGTTGTGGGGAGGGGGAGGGAAAGGAGTTTGTAAGCCGCTCTGAGACTCCAAGTGAAGGGCGGGGTATAAATACAATCTCTTCTCTTCTTCTTCTTCTTCTCAAAACCAAATTCTTCTCAGCAGCGGCAGCAGCAGACTTAGCCCTTGTTCCTCACCCACTATAGAAACTAGGTCAAGGCACGAGAAGAGGAAGTGCGTCAGCCTTTTCGGCAAAAATAAATAGGAGTCTGTGGCACCTCTGAGACTAACAAGCATGAGCTTCCATGACCTAGTGCCTGTTTGTTTATGCTAAAGCAGGGGTCCCCAACACAGAAGAGAAGAAGAAGAGATTGGATTTATACCCCGCCCTTCGCTACCCAAAGGTGTCTCAGAGCGGCTTACAGTCTCCTTCCCCTCTCCACAACAGTCACCCTGTGAGCAGTGTTCCCTCCAAGCTGAGTTAGTGTGAGTCAGCTCACAGTTTTTTAGCGTCCGGCTCACAGTTTGGTCTCAGCTCAGGAAGGAGGGCTCCAGAGCAAACTGATTTATGCAGTAGCCAAATTGCTCGCTCACAACTTGAATGCCAGTAGCTCACAAAATAGAATTTTTGCTCACAAGACACCACAGCTTAGAGGGAGCATTTCCTGTGAGGTAGGCGGGGCCTGAGAGAGCTGTCCTTGAGAGAACAGCTCTCTGCCAGAACTATGGCTTGCCCAAGGTCATCCAGCACCTGCGGGTGGAGGAGTGAGGGATCAAACCCGTTTCTCCTAGATTAGAGTCTGCACACTTAAGCACTACCCCAAACTGGCTCTCTACACTACACTTAACCCCTTAACCACTACACCAAACTGAATAATATTATTGACCAAAAAAAATCAGCAACCTTAACCAGACCAGTAGTGTTAACTGCAAAGAAATAAGTAGCGTCAAACATAATGCCCCAGCTTTTAACTTGTTCAGAAGACTGATCGTACCAATTAAGAGAGACGAAAAGGAAAGGGAATAGGGGAATTTGATAAATTCTGACTTCTGGGTATTGACCGAGATAATGATCCAATATCCAGACGAAAATAGCTGTGAGACAAGTGGAAATATTATCAAGATTTGGAGGAACAGAAGGAGGGAGTGGAATGACTGGGTTGAATGTCGGCAGCACTACGGTGTAGAGAGTAAACCAAAAGGAGTAAACAGCAGAGAGGAAGACTAGAGAGAGAGAGAGAGAGAGAGAGAAGAGGGAGTGTAGTGTAGAGAGCCAACAGAAAGATAAAACTGAGAAGGGGAAAAACCCTGTGGCTGGCTCCACCTCCTGTGGCAGCCAGTTTTTGGCTGGCTCCACCTCCTGCGGCAGCCATTTTGTAGCTGGCTCCACCTCCTGCAGAAGCCATGTTGTGGCTGGCTCCACCTCCTGCAGCAGCCATTTTGTGGCTGGCTCCACCTCCTACGGTAGCTGTTTTACAGTTGCACACACCACCCTGTGTCAAAATTTCAAAGGTTGCCACAGGTTCAAAAAAGATGGGGACCCCTGTGCTAAATGATGTGAAACAGATTTTCCACTCTTCTCCTGCCCTGTCCCCTTCCTTCTCCACCTTTGCTGACTCTTCCAGCCTCTGACTGGAAGCTCTTCAGGGCAGGGACTTCTGCTTGGTCTACTCCGTAAAGCGTCTGCTTGTCAATGGCACCCTGTCCCTGAAGCCAACCTCCTTTTCATGCCCTCTCTTGAATGCCCATCATGCCAACTAGGGGTATGTGTTCAGCTAAATCGGAGCCAAAAAAAATCCGAAAATACCTTATTGGTATTTTTCAGATATTGTCTCAGCTGGATACAGATTTGGTGTATTGTTCGACTATCCAAAATGGCCAAGCCCCCAAAATCCCGAAAATATTTGTGATTTTCGGGGCTGCTGGATAGTCTAACTTAAAGGGCATTTAAAGGGATAGTGGTCCTTTTGATTGCCTTCTCCAAACCATGCGACACCACAGCGAGTGAACTCTGAAGGTGTTTAAAGGGCTTGCAGTCCCTTTAAATGCTTTCTGGGTGAACTCACTGCTTGGAGTTGGTTAAAGGGACTGCAGATACTTTAAATGCTTTTGGAGTTAATTTACTACGAAGAAGACATTTAAATGGACCGCGATCCCTTTAAATGCCTTTTCTCCTCCACTGAAAGCAATGGAGGACGGGGCACCTTCTTTGGGGGACCACAGAATTGGACCCCCTTGTCCAATCATTTTGAGACTTGGTTGTTGTTGTTTTTAGGAGAGGCACTAGCAACTATGCTGCAAATTTGGTGCCTGTACCTTAAAAAATAGCCCCCAACAGCCCCCCCCCCCGAGCCCCAGATACTCTCAGATCGATTCTCCATTATACCCTAAGGGTCCCATTAACTATAATAGTCCCCATAGGGTATAATGGAGCTGAAAAAATTTGGGTTTCCTGAATATTTCTTGAATCCGAATACCATACCGGTATTGGGATTCAGGAATATTGGAAAATACTGATATTTTCCGGGTTCAATGTACCCGAACCCCCAAAATACTGTGGTTGGTTGTTGTTTTTTTGCACACTCCTAAGGCCAACCCAGCAGATTACCGAAATGTGCCCCCCCTCTGCAGAGAAAAGACAAGTCCTCCCCAAGCTCCTATGAGATACCACACTGCCTCTTCCACTACCTGAGGATGAGCATGAAGGCTGGCGTGTGTGTGAGGCTTGCCATAAAACCGGATATGCAGGCGAGCACCACGAAAGGAATCAGGAGCCGGGAACACTTGATGCCGCAGGTCCCCGGGACGGCAGATCCCAGGGCACCGCTGACGACGATGCAGTTACATCTGGTGTAATTCTGCGGGGGGAGGAGGGAGGCAAGATGTGAGGGAGGGAGGAACAAACTCTAAGAACATCCAGTGGGGTAGACATTTTTTTTAAAAATCAGTACATAAGCAGAGCTAGCTGTCATGGCTTCAAGGTGTTGGGAAAAATAGGCAAAAATACTTATATATTCAGAGTTTGCTATGGATCTTTGCTTCACTGGAGAGGAGGCATTTCTTTCTATGTAAAAATCTTTATTTCTAAGGGGAAGGGTTCACAGGAAAAGCTACAAAATAAAAGAGACACCTAGAACTACATCACATCTTTACAGCTACAAACAGACAGACTGCATGGTCACACAACAATGGAGATTCTTCTTCTTGTTCTTCTTGACCCCTAGAAGGAAGTCACCTGATTGCATTAACCAATGATTGCTAGTAAACAGACTTAGATTTTCCCGGGCTATCTTTCCATTGGCTCTGTGCCAGGTTTCTTTCAGGGGTCAGGCTAAACAGTAGCACACAAGGTGAACAGATTAACCCTATAATGACTGAATCTTAGACCTTGCAACTCACATATTTCCAATACAAAGGACCCCAACTGTAAAGCTCAGGTCCCCAGGCCACACACCCCCACTTGGAAATCTGCAGACTTTAGCGCAGCTAGACTTGAGCCCTGTAGCAACTTTCTGCATTTGCCTGCCAGTCTGGATTTTTCTTTTTAGTGTTCGAGTCGAGGCAATTTCAGTCCAAAGCAAAACAGCATCCAAATAACCCGAGGCAACAGCAGGCTGAAATTGGGCTGACCACTGAAGGGAGGTAATGACACCTTCTATATAGCCAGTCATTGATCTGTAGTATTCTTTCCCTTCCTGAGCCATGACCTTTGACAGGAAGAACTGGACTGGATTAAAAAGAAGGTTGGATTCGATTTCAGTGCAGGATTGCTTGGAGGACACCGCGGTGAACATGGATTAAAAGGAGTGTACGGAAAGGGGCCTACAGTTTTTTGGGGATATGAGTTTTAGAGAGTCAACGCTCCCTTTGCCGGATGCAGGCCGAAATGGAGATTCCCCCAAGTCCTCGTATCCCAGTCTGAAAGGATACACTTAACCACTACACCAAACTGGCTGGCGAATATTTATTTATTTATTTATTTATTAGGCTTATATCCCGCCCGTCCACATGAGCTCAGGGCGGCTAACAAGAGGCGAATCCCATACGTAACACTAAAACCAGATAAAACCATCAATTACATTTTACATTTAAAATCGGTGCTCACAACAATAACGTCCAAGACGGGTACTCCAATACCATGTTGCTTAGGATCTACTGTCTCTTCTTGATCGGTCTGCACTCTGTCCATTCTCCAATTCCCAAGGCCAGTTCGCATTGCCAAAGATGGCAGCGCAGTGGTGGTACAGTGATGGCGGCGGCACCTACTCGAAAGCCTGGCTGAAGAGCTCC